AATATTTAAATATGTTTTTTAACATTTAGACTCAATTTAGTAAAAAAAATAGCTAAATGTAAGAACAGTGAGCTAAATAATAAAATGTTAGTGGAAAATTTTTAACGCTCAAAGTGAACAAAATAATGAAAAATATGTCAGTGATATTTTTTTAACATTTCATTTTACACTTGATGCCTCATAGATCTGGGTAATACATTTGAGCTAACATTAGCTTTGAGCTAATGCTAACAGGTGTTAGCAGGGGAAGGAAAGCGTGTTATGTTCAGTGACAGTAAGAAAGAAGAGCTGTCAGACTAAACTGTGAGTTTCTGTTGAACATGTGACACTCTTACAGATAWAGTTCTCATTTAAAAAGCACCAAGGGTCACATGATCACTTCAAACACGTCAAACACATGAGCCACACAGTGAGCAGCTCTAACCTCGGGCCCAGAGGAGGGTTCCTTAGCATCAAARTGAGGCCGCAGCAGAAAAAAACAAGTGGAAATAAAACAGAGTTAAGCTCCAACAGACTATGAAGCTGAAGTAAACMTGATCATCTGGGTCAAAGAATCTCACCTGGTCTTCCACTCCTCGTCAGCCTTGGAGCGRTTTTTACGCGCAGCTCTCTGCTTTTCCTCCAGCCTCTTCTTCTCCTCACTGGCCAGGTCTGTTTGAGGAATCACACTGTTAGTCCTGGAGCTCATTTCACAAAAGTCAGATTTATAAATCCAGGATGTCAGCTGTAATCTGTTGCTCTAATGCTACGTTCACACCAAACGCGTTTTGAGCGGTAAGAGCGGCCGATTCACATGCAAAGTCTATGATGATGCGCCTCTAGGGGTCGTGCGTCGCGTCACGTATGTTTTGGGCGGCGCGCAAGGAAGGCGGAAGGAGCGCAGAGTGTTTTCCGCGTATACGGTGCTGCGGAAGCCGCCGCCCAAGCCGCTGCCAGAGTTCAAATATCTGAACTTTTCGCCGCTTGACGCGTCTCCCACTGAAAACCGAAACAGACGGACTGGAGATCTTTACCTGAAATCGACTGTGTGCAGTTGGATTTTCTGGCAGGATATATCAGCACCGATGTGGATCAGCTGCTCGGGACCAATAATAAAAAAAAAAGTACGTCAGCTGGCAGCTTCTGGAGTGACTAAACTAACTGAACAAATCGCCTCTAAATCATCTGGGGTCGGATTTATAAAACTGGCATACGCACAATATGAGCCCAGAAACTTGCGTACGCCACTTTTCACACCAAGGTTGTGAT